GACCTATTCACCGCCGCCTATGCCGATACCACCTCGGCCGCAGTTTTCTGCCCCCCAGCCGCAAGTCGGAGTCTACTCCGACCAATGGCGGACCTACGACAACCGTCCCATATGTTTTGCTTGTGGCGGTGTTGGCCACGTGGCACGTTATTGTCATCATCGCCAGGTTGCTGAGAACATTCGACGAATGCCCTCTTTCGACCCTCAGTTTTCTTCTACGCCTTAAAGCCCTCCTTCCTCTTCCTTTCCTTCTGATCGTCCACACGGTCCAACCCGCTGCTCCCCATCTCTACGTCGACGTTCGCTTTCCCTTTACGTCGCCGTTCCGGACCCACCGACCAGGAAAACTAACGGCCGCAGTTCCCGAGGCACGAACTGCGTCCCCGTCACCATGCACAAGTCCTCGCCCCTGTCCAGCTAACGTCATTGAAGTGTCAGCCGATGGTATCGTCGTCATGGCGCTTGTCGACACCGGAGCCGCTCTATCCGTCATTTCCATCAACCTGTGCCGCAAACTCCGCAAAGTTCTGACGCCATTATCCGGCATCTCTCTTAGAACGGCTAACGCACAAAGTGTAACACCTCTCGCAGCCTGTACCACACGAGTCGTCATCGAAGGGATTGTGTATATCGTCGAATTCGTAGTGCTGCCCTCGTGTTCCCATGACATGATACTCGGCTGGGACTTCCTTGCGAATAATAATGCCGTCATTGACTGCTGTCGCGCTGAACTTGAGCTATCTGCACTTCCTGATGTTGACGCTGTCGAAGCCTCCCTGCCGTGTTATAAACTGTTTGTTTCCGACGACACCACCGTACCCCCGCGCTCTTCTCTGCTGGTGACTGTGTCGTGTGACGCTATTTCCAACGGTGATGTTTTATTTAAGCGCTCTGCCCTGTTAATTCAACGCAAATGTTTTCCACTGACCATCGCTCTCCTTACTCTCCACCATAGCGTCACGAAGACGCTCGTGTACAATACGCTATAAGGGCCTTTACCTTTAGTCTATGATGAATGTCTCGGTCACGTGCATCCGATCGACGCCCACCACATTTTTGACGCTCCATCTAGTTTACTTTCTACGGACCTCAGCGCACTCATTTGTGACTCTGTTGTCGACCAGTCACTCCTTGACGCTTTCCACCGCTCCATCGATGTCGCAACGTCTTCTTCAGAACGAAGCCAGTTAGTGAACCTGCTGCAAAAGTTTCGTACTTCTTTTGACAGCCACGCTTCTGGCCTCAGTCGCACATCGAGCATATCTCACAAGATTGACACAGGAAGCCATACGCTTCTACGGCAGCGCCCCTACCGAGTCTCAGCGTCGGAGCGCCATGTTATTGACGACCAGGTTGCTGACATGGTCCAGCGGGGTATTGTACAGCCTTCTAACAGTCCCTGGGCGTCACCGGTCGTTCTTGTTAAGAAGAAGGACGGCTCCATTCGGTTCTGGGTGGACTATCGACGTTTAAACAAGATCACCCGTAAAGACGTTTACCCGTTACCGCGAATAGACGACGCCCTTGACTGTTTGCAGGGAGCAGAATACTTCTCTTCGCTGGATTTACGGTCTAAATACTGGCAAGTTCCTATGGAAGCATCTGACCGACCGAAAACAGCATTTGTCACACCTGATGGATTATACGAATTTACCGTTATGCCTTTCGGCCTTTGTAGCGCTCCAGCCACTTTTGAAAGAATGATGGACACTATTTTACGAGGCCTCAAATGGAACACATGTTTATGCTACCTCGATGACGTAGTTGTCTTTTCCACTGATTTCGACACCCACTTAAATCGTCTCGAGCACGTCCTCACACGTCTCACCGACGCCGGCCTTCAACTCAACCTCAAGAAGTGTAGTTTTGGTGCCCGGCAGCTCACCATTCTTGGCCACGTCGTATCGCGGGACGGCATACTTCCCGACCCCGCCAAGCTTCGAGCAGTCGCCGATTTTCCGAAGCCAAAGAACTTGAAGGAACTTAGTTTTGTCGGCTTGTCGTCATACTTCCGACGCTTTATTAGAAATTTTGCTTCCGTATGTGCACCCCTTACGGACCTTCTTAGCGGCGACAAGGACCTTTCCACCTGGTCACCAGCTTGCGACGATGCATTCACCAAATTACGCCGCCTGCTGACTTCACCACCCATCCTCCGCCACTACGATCCTGCCGCTCCCACGGAGGTTCATACTGATGCCAGCGGTGTTGGACTTGGCGCTGTGCTCGCGCAACGAAAGGCAGGGTTTAATGAATATGTCGTCGCCTACGCAAGCCGAACTTTGACGAAAGCCGAGGCTAACTACTCCGTGACCGAGAAAGAGTGTTTAGCTATTATTTGGGCCCTTGGAAAATTTCGCCTCTACCTGTATGGTCACGCATTCGACGTCGTCACTGACCACCACACCCTTTGTTGGCTATCCACACTTAAAGACCCTTCCGGACGACTTGCTCGCTGGGCGCTCAAACTTCAGGAATACGACATCCGCGTTATTTACAGATCCGGTCGTAAGCACACGGACGCCGACGCCCTTTCTCGCTCACCCATATCGGATGAAGGTGTTTGCCTCTCTTCCCTCGAGCCTGCACTTGCGTCATCCGCCTTGCGCAACATGACGGTGGAACAACGAAAGCATACCTGGATCAGTGGCCTCATAAGCATTCTTTCTGATCTTCTCACTCCTTCGCCGTCTTGCGCTCTCCGCCGCCAGGCTAGCAACTTTTGCCTAAGGGATGATCTTCTTTATCAACGCAACTACCTTTCTGACGGTCGCAAGTGTCTCCTTGGGATACCCCGCCATCTTCGAGCTGCTATCTGCGAAGCTTTTCACGCGGACCCACAGTGCGCCCACGCAGGCCTGCCTCTTCAAGACATACGCTAGGCTTCAACTCAGATTTTATTGGCGTGGCATGTATAACTACGTGCGAAAATTCATTCGCTCGTGTGCTCAGTGCCAACGACAAAAGTTACCTCCCGGGCAAGTCTACCTCTTCCTTGTCCTAGTCGACCTTTTGACCGCGTCGGCATTGACATTTACGGACCACTACCATCAACTCTAGCTGGTAATCGTTGGATTATTGTTGCGATAGACCATCTGACACGCTATGCCGAAACAGCCGCGCTGCTGACTGCCACAGCCCGTGACGTTGGAACGTTTCTGTTGCAACGTTTCGTTCTCCGTCATGGTGCCCCTCGCGAGCTCTTAAGTGACAGAGGCCGTGCCTTCCTTTCTGACGCCTTGAAGGCATTACTCAACGAATGCCGAATCGTGCACCGCACAAGTACAGCGTACCACCCTCAAACGAATGGCATGACGGAGCGCTTCAACCGTACTCTTGCAATATGCTGTCGATGTACGTCGCTTCTGATCATTCAAATTGGGACCAAGTTCTCCCGTTCGTCACCTGCGCGTATAATACTGCCGTACAAGCTACTACTGGGTTTTCGCCATACTTTCTTCTGTACAGACGAGAACCTTCAAATACAGTAGACACTATTCTTCCATATAAACCTTATGAGTTCGAAAGTACAACTCTGTCCGAAGCTGCCCGACATGCTGAAGAATGCCGCCAGCTTGCCCGCTCTTTTTCTACCGAGGACCAGTGACAGCAGCAATCCCGCCAGACTTGGGACCGTTCGGCTTCAAACTTTCCACCTGGTTCATTGGTATGGCTTCGGGCACCTGCTACCACACCTGGCCGCTCCGCAAAGCTTCTTCCCAAATACATCGCGCCATACCGCGTTGTAGAGCAAACGTCACTCCGTCACTCGTCAACTATATCGTGGAGCCCATCATCCCATCCACAGACCTACGCTACCGCGGCCGCGACACTGTCCACGTCTCTCGTCTCAAGCCATATTATGACCCATTAGTCGTTTCTTCTCCCTAATCCGCCAGGATGGCGTCTTTTTGTGCGGAGGGCGATTGTAGTGAAGACGAGGAGCTTCAGCGGCATTTCTCGGCGCCTCAGAGGCATCACCATCAGCATAAGCTCGTGCTTGCTGCGCTTGGCCGGACGCTGCTGACTGCTTCGCTTTCTGCGTTCTGCTCTGCAAATAAACCCCGTTACAATATATTGATACACTTTGTTCGTGACATATGCGGTTATTTCACCCTATCCCGTATACTTTGGCCCCTCTCGCAATGCTTTTGCGCACCTTCTGTGCACTGCATCGTGACGTCATTGTGCCATCGGATTGAGGAATGCAGCATTACCAACAGAACGTCTTCAGAGTTTCGGTAATTTGACTTCGTCAAAAAAAAATAAAAAAACTCACCGACCGACAGGATCTGCCATATACTTCCACCGGGGCACCGCGTTTATTGTCACTGCCATGCGGTTAGCGCTGTTTCCCGTTTTCGGGCGACGCGAGAACCGAGCCCTGTCCGTATATCAAGGCCTGACCGCACGCACCCTCTTCCTGTGGAAAGAGTGAGCGCGCAGCGTCGCGTAGCCCCACGATGACGTCAGAAAGTCCTGCGCTGATGCGCTGCAATGGGTGCGTGTGGTCAGGCCTTTACACGGGCAATCTATGGTTTTTACACAGAGAAGACGCTCTTACGCAAGTCACACGGGCTTCGGGCTGTTAAACTAATAATTTCTTACTTTCGATGCTCGCGACGTAAACTTATAAGGACAGAAACTTCGAATGCACCAACTCAACGGTTTTCCTGCGTACACGCGTACACGCTTATTTGTTCAAGACACAATTGATTGATTGATTGATTGAATGATTGATTGATTGATTGGTTGATTGATTGATTGATTGATTGATTGATTGGTTGATTGATTGATTGATTGGTTGATTGATTGATATGTGGTGATTAACGTCCCAAAACCACCATACGATTATGAGAGACATTGTAGTGGAGCACTGCGAACATTTCTACTACCTGGGGGTTCTTCAGTGTTCAAGACACAAAGGGACAAGGTTAAAAGCATGGCATGCCAACACCGAAAACACATCTGCAAAATTGCCTCCACAGTGCGCCGCGTACCTGTTGCGAGCGGGATAACACCAATCCCTTATTGAAGGACCCTGGACGACGTCGCGAACGCTGCCTGCCAGGTGGTGCCATGCCCCACCTGCAACACTTCGGCGAGTCTCTCTGGGCCGCTGCTGCGTCACCAGGCCACGCAGAGGGCAACGGCCGCCCACCTGCAATGGAGTAATTCATGGTTGATCTCCGCGAATGGCTGATCCACGCTTTTCATTTGGGATTACGAGGACAACGAGAGACACTGGCGTCTCCGGAATAACTTTGAAACAATCATACCCTTGCCGACCCACCCACCCACCATGCACACGCCTACATACGGGCCTCTACCATTTTGCCTTCATAGAGCGAAAATGAACCTATTGTGTTTATACATAGAAAAATAGAATTAAACGACGTATTCTGCCTATGCATACGCGAAAAAAGGGACTGCACAATGATATATCAGTGCAAAACTAGTTCTAGAAGTCGGCTAGCTTTACTATAACTCTACCCGCCACCAACGATAGACATTTCATCACTGGCGCGCAGTGTGACGTCATGTGCTGCACGAAGCGGAGCCGTTATGTTCTGGCAAAGTTTAAGCCGCTACAGATCGTTCAGTTTCGATGCCAAGCTGAACAAGCGATGAAACAGATCGATAGCGCGCGCATAAATAATCACGCAACAAAATCGCTCGCCGTAATGCAGGCGCTCCCACAGCAAGCAGCTCGTTACGACACGGTTAGCGAGCGCGCCGTTGTTGCCCGACTCTCTGGCCGTTCGCATGTTTATAGAAAAATATTCAATATCAGATTAATTAGTTGTCCGACCAAATGCGTTAACATGAACTCGCAAGTATTAACCAGCATAACACACATTATCATCAAAAAGGAGGTTTCATGACCCTTTCGAAGGGGCCCTGCAACACTTCCTCAGGTAACCATCGAATGGCTTCACATGAGGAGTTCACTGCCCCGCAAATCGCCCGCCACAAAAAAAAATGTTAGAATCCGCCAGCTACGAGCCGAGTTGGAGATTCGTCGCACGATGCAATTGCCATGTCTTTTCTCTTGTCTCAACAAACACGCTCAAAATAAAACAAGGAGGGATGCGGCACGGAGAAAAAGTGTTACGTCACGTGTGCGTCATGACCTTCAGCACTTCTTTCCTTTTTCGTTCAACAGATGCCGCGAGCGAGGGCAGGTGGCGGCGTCACGCAGCGGGCGCAGTTATAACTACGCAGCCCACGATGCTCAAATCAACCAGTGGCTTTGAATTTGTGCGTACGGCTCCGTCGTTTGAATATATTATTGCGCACGTGAACGATCCAACAAATACTAACGGTGAACGTGCTTGCTGTTCCGAGTTGGAAAGAAAGAGGAGAATCAAGAGGATCTTTAACTAGTGGGCCGCTTCTGAGCTCCCCTTCACGACCTGACAAACAACCCCTTTCAGCCTTTGACGGACTCCTTCAAGCATAGCAATATGACATAATTGCTAGAGAGAAACGCTTTCTGGCTTAGTTTGAGAATTAGTTGAAAATTTCCGGCCGCGTGCTGCTCTATAATGCTTTACTCGCGTGTTCACGCTCAAGAGCCTCTACTACCCATCGGCAGCACTTCTAACCAGGCTTAAGAAAAAAGTGTTGTGATTCTTTAACACGCCCTCAATTCTATCAAAATACGGCCGCCGCGTACGGGACGAACCGATCGGGCCTCGGCCTCAATCGTGCTCAGCATATGGACATTGCATTCCCTCACTATGTTACGAAATAATGATTGATTGATTGATTGATTGATTGATTGATTGACAGTAGCCGGTACAGCCTCGACGGCACAAACAAAATGAACCGCGCCGCCGCTTAATAACTCTACACCAGGGTACAACCAGGCGTCCGGAATATGCGGCCCCCAAGATCAGAACTCATCTCTTACCCTTCGCTACTCAAACGGGTTAAGACAGGAACTACCAAACATCGCTTCCAGTAAGCATCACAACCTATGCTTGCACATTGCAACTTTATGACATACATGCTGAAAATGAACATGATTTATATTCTAGTTTTGTACATTATTATGAGTGCGTTTTCTTTCTTTTTTTTTTTTTTCGCCTGCAAAGCCACCCCCTTCCCTCCACTTCTGATTTGCCGTCTGGCCGCAGCGTTGGATTCGTGCAACTCGGCCTTCCACCTCAAAAGGTTGCCGATCACTGCTCTAGACGAAGCATTTCACCTCTGCGGACTGTACACAATAGATACGATACAGATTGAAACCTGCCGAGTATGGAGGAGACAACGCAAGAATTTTGTCTGTCCACACACTCCAAACACAAGTGGACATGTGGCGTCACCTGTCGGTAAATGAACAAACTCAATCAGCAACTTGGACCGCTTGTCGGAAAGGTGGTGGATTACATTGCGAACGTATTTTTGGGATGGCTCGCATTCTTTCAGACCGACAGTGTTTTTAAGAAAAGCGAAGAACAAAAGCAGACTTCGTTATGGCGGGCATAACATTGAATGTTAAGAAATCATACAAGGAAAAATAAATGCGCCCGAGATCACTGTTTTCGCCGCTGATCACAGTCTGAATCTCCCGCCAAGTCTGGTATTTTCGGCTTTTGACGGCAGATGGCGCAGTCAGTCACATCAATCCGTGATTTTTTTACGTTTCTTGTTATTTAATAAAGTAACTATGTAAAGCCATATAACAAAAAAAAAGTTCAATTCACCAAGCTGTGTCTTTTCTTTCTCTCTCTCTCTTCTCTGCTAAGAACCAGACACACCGGTATGGAATAGTTCACTAAACTTATTTTTCAGATGGACTCGTGTGCGCTCGATTTGACAGGCGAACAGAGTAACATTTTCTTTCATTTGCAACATGCGAATGTTACAACGCTAGCTGTGAGGGTCTTGTGGTTAGACGCACACAAATAACACTCGCTCATACGCCGGAAGCCAGCGTTTATTTTCGTTGCCACTGGCTGAGCACGAATTAACTATAACCTACGAAAGAGCCCGTACGCTTGACACGCTCAATCACTACATGCTATGACGCCCAATTACCAATTGGAATGATAAGAATTGTACACAATAAGGGTGAACTGTCATCGTATAAGACTACACAATTCACCGCACAATTACTTTGTGCCCAAGCTGCTGTCAAAGCAAGCAACCACTGAATTACGATTGCTACGATGCTTGTAATTCAGTGTTTATATTAGTCGTCCGGCCCAAGCGGTGTTTACGTTCAATTAACACGACGCTAGGCCGCAACTAGTTTAGGATCGTCATCGCAATGCCTACAGCGGTTGTCGAGGTATGACATTTAAAGCTTGAAAACAAATAAACGCTGGAGATGCGACGCATCTTCACTAGCGCTCCCGCAACTGTCGATGTTCGCGACTAAACGCGGCCAAAAGTGAGACCAACACAAGCCAATAAATGATGCAGAGCACGCTAACATTGCGTTCTTAGACCTATAAAAACTATTCATTTGATCCGCAACATCTGCATCAGCAACTAAACATCAAACGCCACGGTCATCTCCTCGTACGAAGTTAGCTTAGGTTAATGCAACGCTCGCGTTCAAACGAATGCATCGTAGTTAACTTACCTTTCGTAAGGTAGCCTTACTCGACTTTTGCGGCCTTCTTCGGCACGACAGAAGAGCTGTCAGGAAACCCGAGTTCACTCACAAATTAACTTCACGAACCGACTGCCGTCTGCTAGGTACATTGTTGCCTTTCAAGCTAACGCGCTTTAACCCTCGCGCCCCAAGCTACCACAAAAATAATAAAAAACACCAACATAAACAAAGTTTGAATTTTGCACGTTTACAGGTAACAAAACAGCGCAAATTTAGACTCCTTGCACTAAAATTTTTAAAGCGGCCGTCTTAGTTTCTTTGATACAGTGGCGCTTATTAGTTGAATCATCGTGGCCTAGAATGGCCGTACATTGCAAGCAACAATGTGCTTGTCTCTCGCGGGTTTTTCAAACACGTGAAAAGACAAACTGCTTTTTCTTTTTTGTGTGTGTGAATAAATATTGCGCTTTATTGCAGAAGGTGGTCAATAATACTGCTGCATTGCCGATTTAATGACGACTCGTTTGCCGCTTTATATGACCATAAACGAAATATATGGATCCTGTCCTCTTCATACTATACTCAACAACTTGACAATTACAGCACGGATAAGAAAGGTTAGTTGCGCCAATTAGCAAAGAGCTGCAGTCCGTCACGTCCTAGGAAGCGCTTACTGGCTGTGCACGATCATTGCCAGTGGCGAGCCAAAACGAAAGGCACGCACCGAGTTCTTTTCAATGCGAAACTGACCAGTTGCCCCCATTGGATGCAGCAAATGTGAATTATTTCTCATGAAAAATATGTAAGAAAATGAAAAAGACGATCAGTTGAATCAATTTCGAACATATTTCATATTGATACGATAACATTACCTGCAGGTTGCCTTGAGAGAGCGCCAACTCTTTTCTTTGAATCGCACATGCCTGGAATTCATGCAGACGGCATATGCAGTGGTTGCATGTCGTGCCAGCCGAAACATGAGATTCTACTACAGAAGCACCTCCCACTGCAACTCTAAGCAAAAATGCAAATACACTCATACGTCACTATAAAAAAGTTGCATCTTACACAAAAATAGATTCGTTATATTCAAAACTTCGTAATAAAGACATATTGCTAACACTGTATCTATTGCACGGCTATTATTCAATTACTTTGTTATAACCAATGGTTCGTTGTATACAGGTACATTATATCAAATTTTCAGTATAATCAGTGCTATATTTTAGCATGAGCAGCCGTTACTTTTGCCATACTACTGGTTTCGTGGCAATCATTATAGCAAACTTTAACTGAACATTGTCGTTTATAAATTTAACGAGTACTGACACAGTTTTGAGGTACCTTGCAAGGGAAATCTATTTCCTTGGTGTGCACTATCAATGCTCTCGACATACCAGAGCCAGCCATCATGTATAACATATTTTACTTTGATTTTAAACTATTCGTCGCCCAGTATTGCAAGCCAGCCCAAAGCAACGAACATTTTCACGACCAGTCAACATGGTTCCTCGTGCTTGTGAAACTTGCGGCCTGCATCTGCCTAAATCGCAGAATTCACTGTCAGTCACAGTTCCCTGGACAACAATTCACTCGTCATTTACGCAAACTACGTGTGACTGTCAGCAAACAGGCAGCGGCTGCCAGTCTGTCGCGAGTTGCAGTCTTCCCGCGACATCAGACCTCTCTTGATACATCACTGCGAAGTCACCCTCTCTATATCGAACTGAAATCGTTGCTTTGAGGTTGCTGTATTAAAATATATTTAACGCATGCCCAAGCACCACAACACTCATTTTAGGATTCTCGACACTCGGGTTTTTATTTAGGGCAACAAGCCGAAAATATTTAAAATTCATGTCAGTGCTCCTTTGAAGAAAAGTTGCTTTGAATATGCGGACAATCAATTTTACCTTCAGTTTGATTTATGAGCTCATTCACAGCCTATGAATAATGGACTCATAAGTGAAGCAGCACGTCAGCCATTATTCAAACCAAGTGAAAGACTTGAAAATGAACTAGTTGGCATTTCATAACAAAAATCCAACTGTGGGGTTCAACTGGCTAAATTACAATAGCATGGGAGCTGTGGATTGTTTATACCACGTAGGGTTCTCAAATATGCACCTAATTACAATACAAGGATGTTTTTGCATTTCACTATCAAAATTTACTTATCATATCAGAGAACTAAACATGCACACTAGTGTTTAGTGGCCCAACACACAGCTCTAACACTCCATGCTTGCATGTCAGTATGCTGTACCCACAAAGCACAAACCTGGAGGGTTATAGAGGGTTTAACTTAAGTTGAGAACGAGACAGCGAGTGATAGACAGAAAATGATAGATGTAACCATAAGGGACAAAAACAGAGCAGAGTGTATCAGTGAACAAACAGGTGTTATTAAGAACAAGAAATGGCCATGGGCAGGGCATGTAGCATAGACAGGATAACCGCCTGTCATTAAGGATCTAGAACTGGATTCCAAGAGAAGGCAAGCGGGTGAAGGGTAGACAGAAAGTTAGGTGGGCAGATGAGATTAGGAAGTTTGCAGGTATGAAGTGGCACCAGCAAACAAGGGACCGAGTTGGCTCGTTAAACGTAAGAGGCCTTTGTTCTGCAGTGTGCGTAACCAGGATGATGATGCTGTATGTGATTGCATTTTTTTCCTTTTTACTTTATTAAATACCACTGCTTTAAATGTAACAGCTTTTAGCTTTACCGATTGGCATAATAATGTTGTATGTACCTGCAAAAAACTGTATTGGCTGCTGATGGCAACTGCTGAAAGAAGTACCTGACGTCCGTCATTCAGGCCCAATGATCCACAACCGTTACCACATCTTGCCCGAAAAACGTCACCAGAAATGACATAGGCAGAAATCTCAGTAGAAACATTTTTACTGGCTACCAGGAGAGTGGCGATTTTAAAGTCCATCTGCCGAACGACCAATCAACTAGCAAAGCTGAAAGCCTACAACAAAGCGTCTTGGATGTGCTACAAATCACGGCATTAAAAGACAGACCCATTTCACACTCAGATGAAGATTCAGGGGATAAGAACACAGTGTGCTTCTATTTGATTGATTTATTTTACAGATGTTTATGCATAAACAGCCCTTGAATAGTAGCAGGCATGAATGATCCTTTTCTGCCACTCACATTATGCAGGTAAATGTGAATACATACTGCCCTATGCTCCTGAAGCTGTTATGATATCGATAAAAAGTCCACTTTCCCAAATTTTCATAACTACACCTAGTCAGCCCAGTATGAGTTGCTACAGGCTGCTCGTGGTCAAAACAGCGGCAACACCTTTTAGTAATATAAACGCTGTTTTGACTACTGGTAAGCATTCACAAAACCAATTTCACGTTTGCCACATTCACAACGTATCTCAGCGTAACTTGAACCCCGGCCACCGTGTTGCGACTCACACTAGGTGCCGCTGTACCTCTGACGCATGTACAACATAGCCAGCAGGTATCTTTTTGTGTCTAAACGAGGACCACTATGGCACATGAAGTGGGTTCTGCTCCTATGAGCACTAAACACCAACAGGCAGGAAAGAACAAGTGAAACTTTTTCTTTATTTTTCTACAGAAACATCACCTAGCATACCTCTTTTGTGGAAACAAGTTGCAAGACAGATCCATCCTGGAAATGTAAGCAAAGCAATTAGTGTCGAAACAGAGCAGCGATTGTAGCCATGCAACGGCACAGAATGAAACTCGGTGACACTCATCTTTCAAAGCAGTTTTTCTTTGTGTAAGGAAATCTGCTTAATGCGCTAACTGTATCTCTCTTTCAATGCAACTTTCAATGCAACTATAAATGGCACATTGTTTTAGAGAGATTAAGAACTAAAAAAAAGAGGCCGATAGCAATTTGACACAATGCCTTACCTCAAATAACCGACTGTAGTTTTGGAAGTAAATTTAGATACAAATCTGCTGGAAAGGTTTGATGCATGTGCTTCCCATCGCTCCAATTAATTTTTCCATAGGTGCAAGCTTATGTAACAACACAGTCATTGATAACATTTTAATGACAACAGTCACTCGTCAAACGACAAGAAGCTATTGACAGCGCGATTGGCATAGCAGAAACAAGATAGCAAGAAAGACGAAATACCAGAAAAATAAAGACAAAAACAACAGCGCTAACTCCGAAAAAAAAGTTTATTCGGCAAACAACACGAAATGTATGCAAAAATCTAAACGAAAAAAAAGAAGGGCCCTATAAATGACCAACAACAATGACATTAACATTAAACTATCCGCACTATGACTGCATATCGCACTGGTCGCACGTACTGCCATCTGACAGGCAATCAATTTTCTCGCCTAACAAGGCCAATGAAGTACTGCTCATGCACACTCGGTCCAGCCTAGTCATTTCCAAACCTCAAGGGTTTCTCCCGTAAGCTGGGGCCAATCACGTTTCACAACTGCACTGTGCTGAAATTTGAAACGCAGCCACAGTCTTGGCAGTGAATGCCAAGGTGGCCGGACATTGCTGAAGAAACACTGTAAGCACGTTTTTTTAGTTGCTTATTCAGACATCAGGTCATTTGGCCGATGTACCACGGGCCACAATACAATGATAAGGGAAATATACCATGCCTTCGGCGCATAGAAAGAACTTATTCCAATGCTTAGTTGTGAAAGTGCGGGTTTCCCAAGCTCTAGGATTGACGGCTCTGCACAGGCTAGCCAGCTTCTCGGGCCCTCCGCCTTGGCATCAGCCGACAACTATTGTCTTCAGGTTATGAGCCTTCAGGTCATTCACCGTGGCTGCGTTCCTGAGTCAGTTTTTCATTAAAGTTGTGTGAAACAAAAAAAAAACAAGCCCTAGAAATTCCATTCTTTCATGCAAATGAAGTAATTTTGTTGTTAAGTGTTCCATTAAAATATGAATGCAATGAGTGCAAGCTGATGCCCAGACAAATAATACTCATGGACGTACAAGAAAATTAACAAAATGATATTAGAGCACTACAAAAGGCAGCTGCCTATGATAACCACTTATTTATTAGATGGAACAGCCTATCCTCCTTTTGTTTCGTCATTAACAATTACTAATCAATTATACTCCCTCCTTATTATTTGGCAAATGAGCATTGTAAGCAGAATAGTTCTAAAAAATCAGTATGATCGCTTTATCTGGCCTTTTCAGGGTATCTAGATTTGTCTAGCAGTGCCAGTGAAGTTGGCAAGCTTCGTAAAGACGTCATACCTGCATACCTGTAAATAAAGCGAATGTCAAGGATAATATAAAATAGCATTTTCAAGCATTAAGTGGCAGCCTGATGTAATATTGTTTATAACACGCACAAAGACACTGGTAGTCTCAGCATTCGTTCCAATTTTTAATGCATTTACTGTGATACGAATGGCTTCTCACAACAGACACAACCACCTTCACAGTAACCACTGTCTGTTTTGCAATGCATACATTGCCTAACGATGTTACTTTTCCCTTGTTATAGCCTGCATAAATAATGTCAAATGAATATTTGGACACCAACCATTGGAGATGCCCGGTAACCCTGCCTGCTTCTGTGAACATTTTGAGCTCGATCACAGCAATAAATTATGAAAAACATAAAATACAGATTGGCAATATTATGGGTAGCTGGCAAAGCTTTTGCATATCTTCAAAATCTTAGCGCCAAAGATATGGATCTTTACCGGCCAACTCGCCGCACTCGTCAAAACTTTTGCTTCCAGGTCATGCCATTGCCATATTTACAATCTACCTCTGGAGAACTTCTACCAGACTCACAAAGAAAAACAAACAGCAGTAATTGAACTCCTGGAATGCATGCTTGCGCAGAGTTTGTTTCAATGTACAGTTGACGTCCGGTTTCTCAGATGCCTGAAATTCCCTTTCGCCCGGAGTGAACAGTGTGTGCGACGAACATCCCCCTGCGGATGTTGCCTTTGACAATCTGCACACTGCTGGTGTTCCGATTGCAGCCGTGATAACCTTTGAGGGCTTTACCGACGCTGGCAAAGACCTCGAGCTGTGCGCAGAATTGACTGATAACAAACTCATTAGTCAAGTTACGGAACCATCCGACAACTCAGACACCAAGATCGAAGAGGCAACACCTACACAGCCAGTGAGCTTGGAGTTGACGCGAACACTGATGACACTGTAATCAGTATGCAGCGACAGAATAACCTTAGCTCAAATTGAAGCAGACATCATCGTGGCCAAGTGGAATGCCGTACAGACAAAAATAAGTGACTTTTCTTGCGCCAAAGTGTTTGCAAATACTTAGCGCTGGCCACATCGAATTTTTTTCTTTTCTCTCTTTCCTTTTTTTAATATAAATGGCTCTTTTCAAAGCCGCCTAAAATATGCATTCACTGAATGCAATGAGAATGCTTGTACTCCTTTTGTGACTCTCTCCATCCACAAAAAATACCTATTAAAAAGGTGCATTTTTGCTTGCATTCGTTTTTGAGGACTGCCCGATTTCCCAGACATTTTCGTGGCCCCTTGCGGATCTGGTAAATCGGACGTCGGCTGTATGTCGCACAAAAGTTTGTCTCATTCCAGAGTCAAATGCGTACAATACACCTGAATGTCTCTGCTTAAACAAATTTATAGATATCTGAATCAGACATATCACCTTTTTTGGCTGAGGCATACTTTTCTTTTTCAGGAACGACATGAACTAGTAGTGGGTAGTCTGCCGAGGAGAAAGAAGAGGTAGTTATACTAATGGTGGAGATGCATTAATCAACTGCCCTGCATTATCGGAACTGCGTTTCAGAGTGCTACATTTACTTGTGACCCCGAACTACCAATGCGACCTTTCATGGAGCAGCGTGGGAATCTTGACGGCTTCAGCCCTGGCACCGCTGCTGCTACATCCAGCCATGTACCCTCTTCGAGTGTTGTACGAGGGGCTACTACAATATTGCAACCGCAGCTGTGGCTTGCCAATCCCTCCTTATGGTTCACTCAAGTCGAGAAAAAGTTCTGCATTCGCCGCATCATGTCAGAAGTTCGCAAGCCTGAGCTACACGTTGAGGCATTGCCGCCACAGGCACTGGCCGAAATAAGCGACATCCTCGTGGGCCCGCCTGGCGAAACTCCATATACGACAGTCAAACAGGCTCTTCCCCGACTCGCTCCACCTAAGCATCGGTGCACTCCTGTGCAACAAAGAGCCTGGGGACCGCCGACCCACCCAGTTTCTATGTCACCAGCAAGGCCTGCTTGGAGACTAGTCGGCCTGCTCAGAAACGTCTACCGTGCGAATGGCTCAGGCTAAGACTCTGTCGGAGCTGGCAGGAATGGCCAATGACATGATGTACTTTGCTCCAGCAGTCATAAACGCTGCCCACACCTCTCCGATTCTCGAAGCAGATTTCCTTCGAGGAATAGTAAAAGATCTCGCAGCTGAAGTCACTAACCTGCATCTGCATTTGCTGAGCATCCGCGAGTTAAATGACCAGCCTCGTCTACACCGCCTATCTCTCACGTCGCCTGCTCAGCAACGGCTCCTCCACCAGCCCGAGCACCGCTTTTCATCGCAGAACACATGCTACTATCACCGGCATTTTCATGCCGCAGCTCACGCTGTTTTCATTTCACCAGATAAGCATATACTGATCATCAATGATGGTTCATGCGATGATAGTACTTCTATCACTGGCTGCTGCTTGCAAAACACGTAAACCATAACAAGATTGGTATAGAAAATAAATAGGCGCGAGTGCAAAACCTAACCTGTCATTCCAAATATTATGCAGTCAGTAGGAAAATTGCAAAGAATGAGCATCTGATGAGCTCACTATTATTAACAGTTGCTTTTAGCAAGGCAATACACCTGTTTTTTTTTTCTTCATAAATTCAAGATATAAATCTAAAGCTCGGAAAAAAAATTCAGCCAGCTCTGCTTCCCAATGAAACCAATGAAACAGCGAACCTGGCGACATTCCTTTTGTAAGGCTAATGAATATAAAGGCTTTACAAGTCCTTCAGATATGCTGTATCACTGCTCTTTATAAAACACTGTTGATTGATATGATTGATATGTGGGGTTTAACGTACCAAAACCACCACATGATTATGAGAGACACTGTAATGTGGGCTCTGGAAATTTCGACCACCTGGGGTTCTTAACATGCACCCAAATGTGAGCACACGGGCCTACAACATGTCCGCCTCCATCAGAGAAAACACTGTTTGTTAAGCTTTTAGGTGGTACCATGGTAATATATAGCTTTATTGTGTCTTAACTATAACACTCATACATACTATATTTACTGAGAAACCTCCGCTTAAGATTCTCCGATAAGTTGTATCACTGCTCTTTATTAAACACACCTTGAGAAGCTTTAAGATGGTGGTATAGCCACCACCTTTTACAGCCACAAAGTATCACGTGACAGTGGCACAGCTATGGTAACACACACGCAATTTGTTGAGCTAACTACTGCTTTCTTGATAGCAGAAGTTGTGTGTACACTCAAACCTCAATATAACAAACATCAATATAACAAAATATCAGTTATGATGAAGCAAATGAAAAACAGTCTTGCAACAGCTGTAGTGAGAAATATACGTTTATAACAAATTTCCAAAAATAACGAAGTTATTTTCTTGTAAGGTGCAACTTTTTTATAATCAGGTTTGAGTGTAATGGGATTCACATAATTCTTCTAAAACAAGCAAGTTTATAATGACCACAGAGTTCCTTAAAATTAACTAGAGCGAAATCTCATGCTGCGATCTATCTGCAAACATGAAAACGATGAATTTGCAACACAAATTAGCATGAGAGGGTGCTGCAGAGTTGCAGCATGGCAGATTCACGGAGGTCACCGCATCCTTTGTCGCTAGCACAAATATTGAGTTTTCTGCAGTGTGATTGCAGTTCGCACTGTTTTTCAGAAGGGGCCCGGGCGGGTTGTTGACGCTGAGATCTTATTTTACTCGGCACCAGTGGTCCCACAAGCGCGAGCAGCGTTCTTGAAGTGGTCGCGTTGTGTGTGCAATACACATGGCACACCGCGTCTCTGCGAAATTTGTTTACATACTTCGGGTGCCGCAGCAACATGTAGTCACTGAATACAATGGTCATTTAATAGGTTCGAGTTAACAAGTTAACACTGGTGCTTCACCTGGAAAGAAGAAATCTGCTTGGCCGTTTGTTTTTTCTTCACGAGCAGCACCATCCTACCGTGCTCCTACCGTATAACACTCGCGCTTAGACTGTTTGGAGCTCAGTACGCAGCTTCTCTATATTGCTGCTAGGTGCCTCGTGAATTGCTGGAGTCGCGAATAGTACAGAGACTCGCCTGGTCTTTATGCTTCCGGGCTTTGAATTCACTTGTGGCTTTGTTTATTGCAGTGTTTTGGTTTTGTTTTGAATAAGTGAACAAACTGTTGTGAACTTCGTGACCCGATGAGACTTGATGAGCCAAAAAGTTAAGGGAGTGAAGCGTAACTGCTAAACCTCTGCTGATTGTCGTCTCATGGCAAAGCAGGTCCAGATTATGGGAAGCCATACAGAGCCTAAAGTATGAAGACAAATCTGTGTACCACCCATAATTTCCATGCTTGCTGAAGCACCATGCATTGCAGCTCCCATAGACACTAGCGCCAGAGTGTATATATCGCATATTTATAGGAAGCTCTATGATGATTACAATAGTTTTCGATAGGCCACACAGATTTCCGCAGCACATCCCTATTCATTTGACCAACTGTAGCCTTCATTTTTAGTGAACTTAGATGGCGAGTAGTAAGGTTTACCGAATGTCTCCGCGCATACCCATTTGAGATGCCCACAAGTGATCTCGAACACAAGAACCTCGACCAATAGCTGTTAAGAATTAAACACTTTTAACATAAGGTTTGCACCAAAAAGTTAGCAGCTCAACTGTCTCTCCTGTTACAGCAGGAACACAACAGCATGATAAGTTGATTTGTAAACCGTGATCACACAGGCTGCATGAAATCGGAGTTGGAAGACGAGAAAGAGCAGACGATGTTTGACATTTGTCAGCTCACTTTCTCTTACCCCGCCACTCGCAATATGCTCAAACGCAATGTCTTTGATAAGCACACAGTTTGCCGATTCACTCACTGAATCTTGAGACCCTTTGTGGCCCGCGTGTCCACTCTTTTTTTTGCCTTCGTTCAAAGCTTTTCTATCTCCAGCCGCTGCCTGTGCCACTGAAAATCATTCATCAGTGCAACTTATGACTCATCCACCCACACAGTGCACTTGTAAATAGTTTGTAACAGGTAAATATGAATATGCAACAAATGTACCTCTAAGTGAGTGTGTCAGCTAGTGTTGGATGATTATCATTGCTCATTAACGATGTGTGTTCAAGTCTCAGACACCAGCAAACAAGCTAAATCATTACTGTTCTCTACATGCTGTCACACAACATATTCATCATAAGGTGACAATATCAACTTTTACCCCTAACTTTTCCCCTTCTAGGCCTCCGAAAACCTCCTGTAAGCACACGGTAAATAGCAATAGGGAGGTCATATCCCTTTGTCTTATACCTTTCTTTATCGGTGTTCTGTCACTTTCTTTATGTAGTACTATAGTGGCAGTTGATCCCTTGTAGATTTCTTTCAGGATGTTTATATATGCTTCGTCGACGCCCTGATTCCGCGGTGTCTGCATGACTGCTGATATTTCTACTGAATCAAATGCCTTCTTGTAATCTATGAAGGCCATGTGTAGTAGTTGGCTATACTCTGAGCATTTCTCTATTACCTGACTGATAGTATGAATGTGGTCGGTTGTTAAGTAGCCTGTTCAAAATCCTGCTTAATCCTTTGGTTGATCGAATTTTAACATTGTCTTGATTCTGCTAGCAATTACCTTTGTAAATAGCTTGCATACAATGGAGAGCAAGCTGATCGACCTGTAATGCTTCAAGTCCTTGTCGTCCCCATTTTTATGAAATAAGATGATGTTAACCTTTTCCTAAGATTGGGGTACCCTCCCTGTCATAAGACACTTAGTAAACTGGGTGGCTAGTTTTTTCAACACAATCTGTCCTCTGTTTTTTAGCAGATATGATGTTACCTGATCCTCACCAGCAGCTTTGCCTTTTTGCATTCCCTCCAAGGCTTTCCTGACTTCTTCTATCAATAATATAAGAGTTAATGGAAGAGTTAATGTTAATAAGATAAGAATTATTGAGAGTTGATGGGATGATTGTAAACGGAGAGCACCTTTGTAACCTGCACTTCGCTGATGACACTGCGTTGCTGAGTAACTCAGGGGGTGAATTGCAGTTCATGATTGACAGCAGAAAGGTTAATCTGTAAAACTGATCTGCAAAAAACTGAAAGTAATGTACAACAACTTCGAATGAGAACAGCGCTTAGAGATAGGTAGCAGTGCTCATGAAGTTGTAAAAGAGTGCATCTACTTGGGACAGCGCGAAGGAACACATTAACCGAGCTTAACTTCTGTACAGAGGCTTTGTGCAGAGGTGAAGACTGCTGTCAAACTGGTATAGTTGCGTTCCCTGAGCACATAACATCTGAACGTCGCTTGAGCACATTTGAGTGACAGCAAAAGTTAAGACGTTAAGAACCAAACCTCATTAGAAGTTCCAAACCTCATTAGAAGTTCGTTCCTTGGAGTCACGAACTTTCACTGACATTGCCAGTCCACGGACATTTAGCAATAAACGCTTGACACCATCCTGATAAAAAACATATTGGTTTTGATAATCGTACTTTTCTTTCTGATGAGTTTATAAATGTTTTTTTCAGACAGTATTGCTGTAGCTATAGTGACGACCTAGCTTCCCGAGTTCGTGAAACGAGACCAGTACGCCAGTAATAATAATAATTGTTGGAGTCTAACATCCTAAAACCAGGATATGCAAAGGGCTTTGAAAATTCATACCCCACCTGGATTTTTTTTTTTTTAACGTGCACCTAAGCCTAAGCACACGGTCTTGCTAGCACTTCTGTCTCTATCTAAAATTCGTCCACCGCATGCCGGGATTAAACTGCTCGGCCGCAACCGCGCATCATAAACACTGGACCACCGTGGCGGTATTACCCACGTCTACGCACACCGATACTTCGCAAGCGGATCACGAACGTTTGTGCCTTTAATACGTACGTCCTATCATGATCTCGTACTTTACCCTAAAATAATGAACCAGCCATGAGGACACAGATAAGTGGCACACACGACTGCCAGTCGTTATGAGTGCAGCTCCTCTCATTCCATCCTTTTGACTGGTTTATTCCGTTATGTACCAACCGACCACGACTTTAACCTTCCCGCTAGTATTTTCTTTGTTAGAGTTTGTTTACGCTCTACACATACTTCGCACAAACCTAGGGGTTACCGAAAGCGTCGTAGCGGCAATGCTGCACGCAGCACAAATTTTTGCGATCCTGAACAAACGAGAGAACCACGAGTAATCACCGAGGTCCGAGTCCTGGGGCTTTGTTTAGCAAGTTATCTAGACTCTCCAGTAACAAAATAATGTCCATTTTTGCGAAAACAGACAGAGATTTCAAAAAAACGACATTCGCTTACGCCACTAAGCTGATGAAACGATGTTGTGATGCTGTCACGCAAACTTGACACTGCGCGCCGCCATTTTAAAAAACATAGCAGCTTGACTTGGCTAAACTTGGTTTGTTAAACAAAAATATTTTTTTTTAACTTGGTTGCCAGCTTGGCTTTTGAATAGAAGCCAGCGATGACGCTAATACACTGATTGTATTTGCGTGAGAGCATTCATTACAGTGAAAGCTAGATAATTAGAACTCAAATGGTACTCTAAATATAGCTAATCAAAGAGAACAATTAGGCCAGTTGATCATACATGATCAAAGCGTCGAGATAGGTAATAGTGCACTTCAAGTTGTAGAAAAATATGTCTACTTAGCGCAAGTAATAACCGCGGAGCCAAACCACGAGATTGAACTAGAAGAATAAGAATGGGGTGGAGCACATTTGGCAAGCACTCTCAAATTATGACAGATAGATTGACACTATTCCTCAAGAGGAAGGTATATAACAGCTGAATCTTGCTGGTACTTAACTACGGAGCAGAAACCTGCATACTTACAAAGAGGGTTCAGCTTAAATGGCGGACGACGCAGCGAGCAATGGAAAGAAAAATGGTAGGTGTAACCTTAAGAGACAAGAAGAGAGCAGAATGGATTAGGGAACAAACGGGGGTTAAAGATATCATAGTTGAAATCAAGAAGAGAAAATGGATATGGGCCCGGCATGTAGCATGTAGACAGGATAACCGCTGGTCATTAAGGGTAACTAACTGCATTCCCAGAAAAGGCAAGCGGGTTAAGGGAAGACAGAAGGTTAGGTGGGCAGATGAGATTAAGAAGTTTGCGGGTATAAATTGGCAGCCGCAAGCACAGGACCGGGATAACTGGCGGAACATGGAAGATGCCTTTGTCCTGCAGTGGGCGTAGTCAGGCTGGTGATGATGATGATGATGATTGATGATGATGATGATCAAAGTATGATCAAAATGCAGTTTGAGTTGATAGCCTGTGCTTGTCCTTGTCTTTTTCCCGCCCGTGTTTTCTGCCACGCAGTATACTTCAATCACGTACTATAAAATTGTTCGAATTAAGTGGAGCTAGAATCAGAGGGCGGGTGCTAGAATGAGTGGGCGCTGCGCCACACTGCGTGGGGCGTGAGCAAATACCTAAGATGGCAACCATACCTAAGAAGCCACATGTGACTATGGTCTCTGACGTTTGTGGCAGGTGTTTTCGTAAGTTAAATGGGCCCTGCAACACTTTTTGAGCATAGTGCTGCCGATCAGTAGTAGAGGCTTAGCCATAGGCGTATTAGCCGGGGGCAAGGGGGGGGGCGTGAGCCCCCCATAGAGAAAAGTTGGGAGGGCTGAGCCCCCCCCCCCCCCCACTTTCTACAGTGGTCACTCTTGGCTGCACGCTGAGGAAACCAACAAGTAAGGCATAGTTTTCTATCACAACAGTAATGCCTCAATTATGCTTTTGTTTGCGGTAGAATGAAATTGTTACGAGGCTATATTACAAGATAGTGAAATTTTGCTAACATTGCCGATGTGAGTATTTTCCTTGTAGGCTCATATATATATCAGCCCCCCACTCGCGAAAGAGTTGGTAGGCCACTGAGAGGCTCCCGAGAACACGCGAGCTAAATATTATAGCGAAGCACGTGGCCTGGTATTCACAATAAATTCTTAAAGTAAGATAAAAATTGTTTTTCTCTTTTCTCGACAAATGACGGATGACGCTCAAATGTTCCCCACCACAGCCGTTATATGCATAGTTATATTGTAACGATGTTGAAGGACTCGGGGTATAACAAAACGTATTTATTAAAGGGCGAACCTGTGCCCACAACTCAAAGGGACTATGGTCGTAGCACGTTACAGCAGAACGGCAAGATGTCTTCTTTTTCTACTTCTTCAAGAAGAGTCCCAAGCGCGTGGCACACATCAGCAGAGGCCAGCTGGGTTCTCGTGCTATCATCATCGTCTCTGCGCAACACTAGACGGCGCCCATGTATGTCTCTGCGCGTGGTGATGGGCGCGTTGTTTGAATGCGGGCACTATGTCGTGGCAATATGAGCCATTGGCTGATTTGAGCGTGGCGCGCTCGGTCGTTACATGGATCGCCGCGGGAGGCCGCGTCTTGTCGATGCGTGCTAGAAGCCTTCATGTCCGCACATAAAGGCTCCCTAATGCGCGCGCGTTGCACCGCACTGAAAAGCCTCGAATTCGAATGAGAAAGAAAGAGAGAGAAAGTGCTCAAGTTCACGAGGTGTGCGTGACGCATTTTGTTTCCCCGTGCCATCTTTCCCTGCTTAGCTTCCATCGCTTTGGTCTGAGCGACAAATCTTTTTAATACCGCTCGTGCTGGACGGATTCTAAAAAAATTTTGTGACGGCGAATTCGTCTGACAATTAGCTCCTTTAGCGAATCTATTACGCAGCTACAATAAAAAGTGTTGCACAGGCTCTTTAAGTTTATGGAGCTCTAACAGCAAACATAATTGATCAGTTAGTGACATTAATAGCCATAAACGAGCACTGACGTGCATTCATCCAATTCATGTCCGAATTTCTAAAACACGTTAATTTACATAGCAGAGTTGACACAATCAAAATTACAAAACTAATCAGTAATTTTGATTTGTTTGCGTTTCTTTTATCACGAATCTACGAACATCGTTTGCAGCATACCCAGCTCCAGTGCAGCGTCCAAAATCTCATCAGCTGATAACGCTGCTGTTCCGTTGTTTTGCATGTCCGGTAGTTGGGTTTCATTTTGCAACATATTGCGACCGTGCACTCTAGTCCGACTTCTACGAGGAGCGACAAAAGACAGGAGCTCCTGGTTCGCATTGACCGTTGTATAGAAAGCAACGCATTCGAATATATCTATCGCGTGTTTTTCCTCATATGAAGATAAATGCACAGCTAGAGCTATGCCGGGACTAGAGCGTCAGTACTCAATACGAATTTCTTGTGTGTTCAAGTTAACGAGTATTTACAGTGTTGCGTAAGATCAGGTGCTCCCCATATATCAGTTCGAGCCAAAGTGGCTAAAAATAAAATAAAAACAACGCTGGCTTGGAAGCTCTCACAAGGTTTCCGCAACAAAAAGTGAAGTCGGCATTTGTCAACCTTTCATGCGGAAACCATATGCTTTGGCCTAGTGGGGCTTGCTTAGAGATCAAGTTAATTTCCTTTAATAATGTAAACGCTCGGTTATCTCGGGAAAAAAGAAAGAAACCCATGGGCGACGCTTCCATCATCAAGGGCAGGACGCGATGGCGTAATCGGGCCCCGCGTGCGCGCATTGCATTCAACCATGCCGCAAGGAATGGAATGCTTGCGCGTGTAACATTTGCCGTTTCAAACTACGTGGGAGCGGCCCGTGATCCCACCCCTATAAAACGGGGGGTGGAATACTTCAGGACCCCAATAAAGTTTTTCATCCACCCATTCTCACTGCAAACACAGTTGCGAAGTGCCGGCCACTAGGCTTAACTCTTCCTTTTGTTATTTAGCGAATGACCCACGACGCGTCAGTAAAGTGCCACGCACACCTGCATGCCACTGCGGACTTTGTAATGGTGAGCAGCTGCGCAGTTAACACGATGGTTTTCTAACCACATGGGAAAGGATGTTATCTCCAATGCCAATGAGTTTGCCCGCACACGCACACTGTCCATCCATGACGGGCATTCGGCCTCTGATTTGGGTAAAGGCATCCAGCAGCTTGATTCCCTCTTCACCTTTAACGGAATATGTAAACACCTTTAATCGTCCAGGCGTAGGTTCCCGCTCTCGCACCCGCAACTCTCGAGGGCCAAGTCAACCATTTTAAGTATGCTACGAACCGGTACTTACCCGTCACCCTTATTTCAAGTTTATTGACAAAGTAAAGCCTCACACTGACCCCATTGCGATGAGAGACGATGCACGTCATCCCACATGCTTTGGCAATGCATGGCGCTGCGCGATGGCGAGCCTCTCAGCAACGAAGACGCCGGGAGGACGGCACTCACCAGCTCGGACCGGGAGGTCCAAATCCGGGCTGTCCAGAGGGACCGCATTTTTGGGGGGGGGGGGGGGAGGGGGCATGTCCTTGTCCTAACATGGGTGCGGCCCGCAGCCGATCAGCCCTCTTGAGGGACATGGGCTCCCCAGGAAAACTTATGAATAAACTTCGTTGACTGACTGACAGTGCAATTCACAAGTTTGATGCCTGGCGCACGCGATTCTACGATTGCGCCACACGATATCGCATGCGTTAGGACTGCATACTCCCACTGCATGCCATATTTATGACATCATATTTATTATTTTAGTACTAAGCCCCGGCGTGGCTTCGTGGTAGAACCTACGTCACGCAGACGGCAGCAAAATTGTGGGAAATGTGGGGGTATGGAAAATGGGGGAGTATGAAACATAGCTATATATACCATTGTACTGCACGAATAAGTAAAAAGAACGAGCCTTACTCCTCTTTAGAGAAGTGGGCCATCTTACGTACTGTTCCTGATGGCACATCTTCGTCCTCGCGCGGAAAAAGAACCCCAGAGGGCACTACACGGTCTTCTCGTCTCTTGATTCACGATCCGTACGTTCACTCCGAACCACGTCATCGTCTTTCTTTGGGACGCTGATGTTTATCCAGTAGAGTAAATCACTGATGAGTGGAAAGGGAATCGAGGGTGAGGAGAAATGATGAAATATTACATAGCTTTTATACTACAGCAGCAAGGGAAACTTGCGAGAGGCCCTACAGTGGAAGTAATCAGGCTGCCGATGATGGTGGCAAGAAGTGGGAATAAGAAGTGAGAGTGATTAGCAGGCAAAGGAACAGAACGCCACCATATCCGCTGCTGCTTCAGTTTCTGCACCACTAAATCGCGGTTACCCCATTTTTAAAGAGGTAGTTTTCCTCAAGATACTTCAACGCTAAAATGTTTGTATGCCTGTCAGTCTGTCTGTCTATTTGTTTGTTGGTCCAACCATATAGTCAGATGGGAAAGTTCAAGCGACTGCTCAAAGCTCACCTATCTTTCTCTGGTGGCTACGTTCACACTTGCGAATATTGTCAATCGAAAAGCAAAAATTACACATATTTGAGGTGCAACGTCAAGACGAAAGCGTTAGGCAGTGGGTCTTTTTTATTTATAAAATGCATAGACACGTAATTCTAAAGACCTAAGTGTTTATTACACTGCGCCAACAAATGCGAACGAAAAAGCGGGCGTTTCATACGCTTCGCTAAAACATTGAGGGGCTTTAACTAAAACGGCCCAGTGCGGCCACCTACTAGCGGCTCTGCATTGTAAAATAACTTTAATTTCTTCCCAACATTGCCAGATGGTACCATATCGCACGCAGCGACTACAGACAGAAGACTACGCTCTTTCGACGTCTTTGCAGCGAAGCACGGATATACGCGGCCGTAATAAAGATCTGTTTCTTTCTATCTCATGATAGATAGATAGATAGAGAGAGAGATAGATAGATAGATAGATAGATAGATAGATAGATAGATAGATAGATAGATAGATAGATAGATAGATAGATAGATAGATAGATAGATAGATAGATAGATAGATAGATAGATAGATAGATAGATAGATAGATAGATAGATAGATAGATAGATAGATAGATAGATAGATAGATAGATAGATAGATAGATAGATAGATAGATAGATATGCGGGGTTTATAGTCCCAAAATTACCACACTTTTAAGTGATTAATTTGTGGGGTTTAACGTCCCAAAACCACCATATGATTATGAAAGACACCGTAATGGAAGGCTCCAGAAATTTCGACCACCTGGGGTTCTTTAACGTGCACCCAAATCTGAGTACACCAGCCTACAACATTTCCGCCTCCTTCGGAAATGCACCCGCCACAGCCAGGATTCGATACCGCGACCTGGGGGTCAGCAGCCGAGTACATTAGCCACTATATAGACTACCGTGGCGGGGCCACCACATGATTATGAGAGATGCCGTAGTGAAGGGCTCTGGAAATTTCGACCATTTGGGGGTTCCTTAACGTGCACCCAAATCTGAGCACACGGGCGTATACAGCATTTTCGCATCTATCGAAAATGCAGCCGCCGCAGCCGGGATTCGATCCCACGACCTGCGGGTCATCAGCCGAGTACCTTAGCCATAGACCACCGCGGCGGGGCTCTCTGCATATCGGCAACGTCATGGCTTCACGTCACCGCCTACCCAGCCTGCATCACGTGGACATGAGAATCTTTCTTTCCGGGCCGCTTTCGCACACTGTTCCGCCAAGAATGAATGAGAATGTTTAATAATGTCAATAACCTAGCGGCTGCAGGTCGTTACCGACATATGCGCTTTAATAGATACGCCAGCGCGATTCAAGGAGTTCACCCGAAGGTTGCGGTAAACGGCCAAAGCTGAAAGTGACATAAAAAAAAGTGAGATGTAAGGAAGAAGCGAGGGCCCGTAATCTTACCTACCCTCAGCGCGATATGGGCCGCCCGCTAAGGCAGACCGCGTCAGCCGTTTCCCGAAGAAGCCGATACGATACGGCTGGCCAGCGGGCTGTCCCATCCTCACTCTCGAGAAAAGGAAAATAACGAAAGCGAGACCTCTTGGTTTTCCGCAAAAACAACGTGATCGCACACGTCGGCGACCGAATCGTCCAGGTGAAGAGCTTGGACGCCTGTGTTGCCGCTGGTGGCTACTTTTCAACCCGTCTGGCGACGAAAATTTTACAGTTTGCACCACGCCTATTTTGTCGCTATATACATTTAATTTCCCAGTTTTACTTAAAATGATTCTATTTATTCACCAAAAATAAATACTCTGTTCATAGTATCATTACGGTTCCATTTGGCTACAAATCTGGCGATAGTACTAAATGACAAGGCAACTTTCGCTATTGTTGGCTTGAGTTCTGGTGCCTTTTTTAGTCCACTCATCGACAACACCACACGGTGTTCACTGAGCCTCAACGAATCGTGAAGCAGCTATGGTTTGACCATATATGGGATAGATATCGAAAAATAAAAAAAGAAACGAATGTGAACAGGCTCACTGGTGGTCCACAGTGAGCACACACCGCCTCCCGAGCTGCTTTGCTACGATCACGGCCGACAGTAAACCACCCCGCTGGGTTAACGATCGAATTCAATAGGCCAGTAGGGCGCGGCAGAGCCCAGATTACCTCTTCAGGCGTACATGCACCCCATGAACAACCGGGTGCCGGGTAGGGGAACGCCTTGCCCATTTAACCGGTGGGTGTCCGGCGGCAGGATTCGAACCACCTACCTCCCGCAACCGAGACAGGCACCTTACTCACTAGGCCACGGCTGCGGTCCGATGACGTCCTGGTGATCAACAGGGAGACAGCGTGAGGCACAGTCTAGTGAGACTAGCGAGCCAGCAGCGATCAGAAGCGCGAGCCGAGTGCTGCTGTATGAAAGGGTGTCGTCTTTTCCGAAGAAAAAAAAAGAAACATATAAAATAAACGAAACAAAGCAGGTCTTGTAATATTACAGCAAAGGCTGCAATAGCTCGCCAGATTTAACCAGGATCGCTGCCCCGAGGAAACCATTTAGGTTTTGCCTCAGTGCAATTTCGCCGTCGTTTCATGCGTATTATTAGGTTTAAATGAACGCTTTGGTGGTGAAATTGTTACGGTATAGCAGGGCTTCCTTGTTAATTCTTTAATTCCGACATACAGAGTGATAACCTAATCTAGGATTTCTCAACATAATCCCTTCCGAATCCTTGGACCCACACTGTCCGGAAGCGGCGAAGTTAGCAATCTAGATCACATAAGAACTAGCGGTGCCCCATCCACACGAAATCGTAGTCAAACCACCCCAGAAATATGCCGTTCCAGCCTACAGAGCTCAAAATTACTCCCATAGTCTTGCAGGGGAGGTGCTCATTGCAGCACCCCCTCCACTATTAGGTCGATGAATGAGGCAAGCTTTGCTCAAGCAAATAGTCATTGTTAAGAGTAGTAAATTAACAATCAGCAACTTATAGCGCGAAGAAGCCAGCAAGACATTCGCATGGATTTCTCTGAAAGAAAACTTGTTAGTTGCCGAAATATTCCTTGTGGTCCGGGGATCGAAACAGATCCAACAGGGAAGCTTGCATTCAGCAGTGTGAGGGTGACCGAATTCGGAGTCGAAGCACATGCACACATATTATTGCGAATCGGTTGTGCAGAATCCAACAAGGTGTAGCTATTTATTATGGGATATTGTCGATTTTCCATTCTTTTCTATTGAAGAGGGGAGGGCACGAATGCTGCCCCATAGTTCACCTTGCTAGAGGAGAGAGGGACGCTGTGACTAATCCCCCACCCCCACCCTCGAAGGAAAACTCTGCGCATGGGTACGCCAGGCTGCCCCCCGCCCCCCCCACCCTCGAAGGAAAACTCTGCGCATGGGTATGCCAGGCTGCCCCTCCCCCCCCCCCCCCCCCCCCCACACACACACACACACTTAAACGGTCCCTGATCGACCGATGATTCCTTCTTATACGACAGTATATGTTTGTACGCAATTTTCCAAAGGAGTTAACCGAAACTTTCCGGTTGAAGATTAATGCACAGCTAAAGCTCTCAACGCAATAGACGAAAAAAGAAAGAAAGATTGAAGTGGGTACTTCCTTAAACGTCTTCGTTTGCCTGCGCAAACACACTCTTTTTTTTTTTTTTTGAAGAACCATTGCTATGTTGGGCATATGGCACGTGCAGTGCACATGGAGAAGCGCTATGTCGCTATCGCAGAGCGCGACGTTTTTCTTCTTTTGGTGGTGACACACGCCTCGAAGTGGAGCCCGACAAAAAACAGTATCAAAGCCGTCTTTGAGGTGCGAAATTCAAGCTTTCCTCAGCCCCTGTGTGTTTTCCTTCGGTAACAACTCTGTACGGGCGGGACGTTGAACCGAATGTCTTGACTCGAAAGTACCGCAGAAAAAGAAGGTTCGACACAAACGTTTGCAAACAATACCGCGTGAGCAGCACTTTGTTACCCATTTCAAGTAGATATTTTTTTGTTTTTGTTTTTTGCAGAAGGAAACGAGATCTATTGTGATCTTGGAAAGTTGCATTGCCGTGTAAGAACATGTAAATACCGAAAGAAAGATACAGAAGATAGATAGATAGATAGATAGATAGATAGATAGATAGATAGATAGATAGATAGATAGATAGATAGATAGATAGATAGATAGATAGATAGATAGATAGATAGATAGATAGACAGACAGACAGACAGACAGACAGACAGACAGACAGACAGACAGACAGACAGATAGATAGATAGATAGATAGATAGATAGATAGATAGATAGATAGATAGATAGATAGATAGATAGATAGATAGATAGATAGATAGATAGATAGACAGACAGACAGACAGACAGACAGACAGATAGATAGATAGATAGATAGATAGATAGATAGATAGATAGATAGATAGATAGATAGATAGATAGATAGATAGATAGATAGATAGATAGATAGATAGATAGATAGATAGATAGATAGATAGATAGATAGATAGATAGATAGATAGATAGATAGATAGATAGATAGATAGATAGATAGATAGACAGACAGACAGACAGACAGACAGACAGACAGACAGACAGACAGACAGACAGACAGACAGACAGACAGACAGACAGATAGATAGATAGATAGATAGATAGATAGATAGATAGATAGATGAAGTGTGCCACATATATATATACGTAAATGATAATTTAAAAACAACTGTTCAAGTAAGCTTGAAGAAAAGCCCCACCAAGCTTAACACGGACATCTAAAAAAAAAAACTTCACGGAGCGCGAAAATCTGTGCGTACAGCTTTTGCAAACATCTTAAGCGTCATTTCGTAACGTTTCGCTCAATGGAAAATTACAACGCAGTCGCCTATCCGGCCCATGCTACGCATAACGTCGATTTTCAGGGTGCGTGGAAATTCGTCTAGCTTTCTTTGTACAGTGATTAGAAAGTTTCTTGAATCTAACTTGTCAGCCTCTCTTAACTATGGAAGACCCGTTGAGCGGTACACATGCTTTTAGCTACTAATATTCTGTAACCTTCTGGTCATCACTTTCAATATTTTTTTTTCATTGCACACTCATTAGGCATAGTGACGCTATTCCACTCCACGACATATCTTATGACGGGCTGCAAACGTCATTGTTCATTCACAATACCTTGACGCCTGTGCCTTTTGATGCCCTTAGGCGGCCAGTAAAAGTGAATATTCGGTATATCTATTCTGAAATTTGAACTTCATTTTTTTTTTGTAAGTTTCTAAAACAAGGACCACATGGATTATTCCCTTCACGCGTAAAATGTGGATATGCTTAAGGCAATAGCTTCTCTATTTCCCCTTCATTTCACCTCAACTTCTTCCTTACTAATTTAAATAACGTACAAAAGTGGGCTCGCAAACGAGCCACACAATTATTGAGAAAAGCTACAAAATAAAAATGAAGATGGCACTCGTTATGAAACAGTCCAATTTAAACAATGTTACAACTCACGATTTGCAGCACAACCAAAAATATTTTGTCATCGTAAATGATTAACGGACTGTCTGTTTTGTTTACGCGAGAAAAAAAAATTTCAATTGTTTAACGTGGACCTTAAAAATGTCTCTGTATGACTCACCTGACCGCGGATGTCTAATTTTCTCGCTAAAATGGTAAGCCCACGATTACCAAGAAGAATTTTTTCCCAGCGTACCTGCAATAACACAATGCAAATCTGCGCTATCTGGACATCGCTGCGATTAGCCAAAGCAAGAAGAGACGTTTCTCTGCACGATCAGATTACCGTATCTTCTATAGCGAGCGGGGGGAAAAAATGAAGAAAGGATGGCTGCTTTTCCCGAAGGCGTCTCTACAAGCAACGTTGCTGCCTTTCGCACATCTGGCGTTCAAGGACCTTGCACCGATCTTACCCAGTCAGACAGCCCGCCGGCCGCCCGGTAAATAGCGATAACGCCCGAACCAACAACCCTTTTCAGTGAAAGCAGGCCGCCAGCGCCGCTAGCAGCAGTTCAGCCGGAGTGAGCGCTAGACCTCTCTTTAGGAGCATAGTTACTTAAGCGAACCATTGTTCCGTGCAGAGAGACTGTAGAGAAACTGTCATTGTCATAAAGCTAATTTGTTTTTATTTTGTTTTTTGCTTGCCTGTGAGCCCTGGCACATACCCTTTCCGGGTGATTGGTCAAGAAAGCTTGTAGTGCCTATACATGAACGCTGTACAATGATTGTCAGCCTATTACAAAAGTGAACTAGGAAAAAAAAATAAT